ACGGTAGCATATGTTCACAAAAGCAAAATCACAAAGTGAAGCTGCTGTGAAAGCTAGTTTTATAGTGGCAGAAGAGATAGCTAAATCAGCCCAGCCATTTACAGAGGGGGAGTTTTTGAAGTGCTGCATGATTAAAGTGTGTGAAGTCTTGTGTCCAGACCAAAAGCAAGCTTTTTTGAATGTAAGCCTAAGCAGAAATACTGTTGTTGGTCGGATATGTGAGCTTGCCACTGATTTACAAGGACAATTGGTTGAAAAGAGAAAATAATTTATTGCTTATTCCCTTGCTGTGAATGAGAGCACTGACGCATATTTGAAGCAGTATCCAAAAGTATAAATGATATGAAACTGCCCTGGGACAAACTTATAGGACTCACAACAGATGGAGTACCTTCAATGTGTGGGGAAAAGAGTGGATTAGTAGGAAGGATGTGAGAGAAAATGAAGAGAGAGAATTGCACAGGTGAGTTGACAGCATATCACTGCAGCATACATCAAGAAACACTATGTGGCAAAGCCCTGAAAATGGAACATGTAATGCACACTGTAACACAGACAGTTAACTTTATAAGAGCCTGTCATGCCTCCGTCCGAGCCTGACTCTGAGGATGACATGGAGTTCCCTGTTGAGGTCCAGGAGGGGGTGTCTGTGGTTTCAGAGGACTGTGGGGAGGAACAGGCTGAAGCAGGCCAGGGCCCTTCAAGTTTGGAACAGGGAAGGCAGAGCTCAGGCGAGGAGCAAGGCCCCTCCCCACCAGATCCCAGAGCAAGGAGAGCAGAGAGGAGGAGGGAACAACAGAGGCAGGCTCAATTGCTCGGGAGGAGAGCATCACGCCCCACTTCACAAGGCACACCTGGGGAATAGGTATTTAAGGAGACGCTGAGGGGTGGGGCATTTGCCAGGAACAAACGTGAACTCTTGTGATGTGAGCTCTTGTACCTTGACTCTTCGTATCTTGGATCAAGTTTGTTTCTTGCTGAGTTTTCCTTGCTGTCTTCAGTTTTTGCAGTTTGCAGATTACAGACAAGCTGGGCGTTGAAAAGATCATACTTTGTTTGTTATCTGTTTTACTTTAAAGAACTGTTGAACTCCGCTGACTGTTTCATTGAACTTGTGCCAGCATATGTGGGGGCTGTTGGGTGAACGTTGGCAGTGCTTACAAAGGCAATTATTCTGACCAGCTAATTGCTTTGCCTCCGTTCAGGGCCCTGGGTCATCACAGAGCCAAAGGTTTAAATCACCGTCAATTTAAGTCTTTTTTTGAGGAAATAAATTCTGAACTTGGTGATCTCCCTTATCACATAGAGGTGCGATGGCTAAGTCGAGGGAAAGTGCTCAATAGAAGCAAAACGTTTTCAAGGAAAAAAAAACAAGAAAGGCCAGTTGCCTTTTGAAAAGGACCTTTGGGACAACCCTGACCTGGATGATTGAGAAACTCCATAGACATTTACCGAAGTGGATGTATCTCCATGTCATTGTGTCAGGAAGTGCAAATGGTTGTTATTCCTAAATTACAGAAAGGATATGGTTTTTCCAGAATCCACATGGATTATTTATATATTTGAATGCTGGATGTTGTCAATATATACGATGGCCTTCTTCACGTTTATTCCTCATAAAACTACCTAGGTATATATTGTACTGCAGATAGGTGACACATAATTAGCTCAAAAATGTACCAAAAATGGTCATGACTACAACATGACATGGGTTTGAAATAAGTAGAGCATAAACTTATATTACCATATTCTTGACTTGAAAAAAATAACAATTTATCATCAATATTCTTTCATGCTGGCCTTCAGCTAGAAACCAAAATACTGTAACACTATAACAAAAAGGTATTTTACAAACACAGTTTATGATCAAATAAAATCTCTCTTCTTTATCACTATTTTCCTTTCCAGAACAAATTATCAGCAGGATGAACAGAATCATTCATCTGTGCTTGGCCTTGATCGTGTTTTCCCTCGTCAGCCATGGCCACCATGATGTCGATCATCACCACGATCATCATGACCCTCAAGCTGCTATCAAGATCCAGCGCAATATTGCTCATTTTGCAACTGAATTCTACAAAATATTGTCTGCAAGATCACAGGACAAGAATATTGTTTTCTCACCCTGCAGCATTTCTATATTGCTTTCAGTTCTGTTGTTAGGGGTAAAGTCAAGCACCCATGCAGAAATTTTAAAGGGCCTTGATTTCAACTTGACAGACATTCAGGAAGATGAGATCCACCAGGGGTTTCATGATCTTCTCCATCTGGTCATACACTCAGAGAACGATTTCAAGCTGGATATTGGACAGGGCCTGTTTCTAAAGGAAGGCATACAACCATTGCAGACATTTTTAGATAAGATTAAGGAATTCTATGATGCAGAAATCCAAGCCACAAAGTTTCAGGAACCAAAAGAAGCTGAAAAACAGATCAATGATTATATAAAGAAAAAAACACATGGAAAAATTATGGAAATAGTCAAGGATCTTGACCCAGAAACTGTCTTTGTTCTCACAAACTACATATTCTTTAAAGGTAACTTGGACAGAAAAAAGGGAAGATTCCATCACTAAAGGAAATATCCAAAGATGCTATTGAGGCAGAGTAAAGTTTTTTGAGTTTGGTGAAAGAGGGGTGGAATTACTCCAGTTCAGAAAAAAAAAACCTAATTTCCAATCAATACAAAGTACATGCATTGAAAAACTAGCCCAGTACAGAAATTTAAGTATCTTATCTAGGTCTCATGTAACTACTTCACTACAGGGGGTTGTACGAAACAGAAACTGTATATTGTTTGTAACTAAATTACATGGTTTTAAACTTCTGGGGAAGTATTTTAGGAATGGTGTTCCAATTTTTTAAAGGTAACTAAGAGCCCTTTTACTCAAAGTGTCATAATTGATATTATGTCAGAATAGTGGCCATTATTCCAATTCTTCATAAAATTGGATTATAAGTGCAACTAAAATGCACTCTTGTAGAGTTTAAAAACAAACAAGAAAGAAATGAATAGAAGTCTGCTTGATAAAAGATCATAAGCTGCACATCTCTCTGTGTGAATAGCGTATAGGTCCTTGCGGCTGTGCCTATTTTAGGATGGGTGTTAAATCACCTTTGTTAAATCATCAACAAAGACTTAAATAAAATAGATCATGGAAGAAGGTACACAGCCCTTTTCTTCTGACAGCAATGCAGGAGCTGAATTGCTTCACTGCATAACCAGCATTTGCTGCAGATGTGCAGAAATCGTCCCATCTTCGTCCCATCTTTGCAAATGCTGGTCAGCATAAGCAAATGAATGCAGAGCATCTTACTAATTAAATCATGCCATCTTTTTGCCTCAGCAAAGAAGATCACAGCATCTTCTTGAAGGCGAATCTAATTCATCTCATGCAGGTATGATACTCTTATCCAAATATTATTGTGGGTCTCTTTTGTTCTCTTTAGGTAACTGGAAGACTCCATTTGATTCAAAGCTCACATGGCAAGAGGACTTCTTTGTGGATCACAACACAACTGTCAAAGTTCAAATGATGCACAGTACCGATTGGTTTTACTCCTATTTTGATAGCCAGCTGTCTTGCAGAGTATTGCAGTTAGACTACAATGGTACAGCTACCACATTTTTTGTTTTGCCTGATCCTAAAAAAGAGAAGGAATTGGATGAGGCTCTGTCAATAAATACTCTGACGAAATGGGCAAAAAATGTACACAGGTAACATTTATTTTACTGATCCTATATTTCTCCATATTTAGTATAGTGTTAAAGATATCTAAGTATACTTCAAGGTCTGTGCATTCTGTGATATACTCTTCCTGAAGCTGTTTGAGGGTTGATTTTAAGATAGAGACCAGCAACCTAGGGCTGTGCATGTCTCACTAGTGTTTAAGGTGCATCTCTTGGTATTGTCCCCGATGTATGAGAGTGGAAGATTTGCTCATTAGTTCTTAATCATATTGCTAATTATTCTTCCTTGCTGTTTGTCACTAATCCCTTTACAAAATAACTCCAGACATGCCATTCAGAGAATGGTATGTCCCTGTAGAAAATTCTGCACCATTGTTCTAATTGGTGAGAGAGTATCCCAGAGGACTGAGTGATGACAGAAGGGGACACTTTGGTGAGGAGATGCCAAACCCATCTCAGAAGCTTCACACCATGAACAAAACAGAGGGCAGTGGTTTCCCATCTCCTCTGCATGAAAAATATATTTCTTCAAGTCCCATTTGACCTTACAGTGTTGTGCTTTATCCCTTCATAATACTCTGATACTCCACTTGTTTCTTGCAATCTGTCATCAGTTTTATTCCTGAATCTTAATTAATCTCAGGTAGGGCAATATCTGTGTCTGCGAGATGGTGAGTGTGACATCATGACAGAGACCCCTCCTCCTTTGTGTTTGCATGTGACCATCTTGTAGATTTTGATCTTCCATGCAGACACTGCAAATTAATTCCCTTTCCCAGATCAAATAGATCAAATAGATCACCTGAACTGGATCAAAAGAACAATCTGAGGGAGTGGGGACACACAAGCTATCTCTTTAGGCCAGCATTCCCCAACTTCTCTGGCTTTGCGGACCAGTGGGGGAGGGAGAGGAGATGGTTCCACACAAGTGTGGGCAAGTATATGCAGTTCAATTTGCACAAGTGGCATCCCACATGCCTTCTGTTCATACAAATGGAGCTGCATGCATGCATTTGCCCGCCACTCGCACAAGTGGAGCTGTGCGTGTGCATGTGCTGGCCCACCAGACCGTTTTGACGGCCTGGTACTGGGCCGCGGCCCAGATTGGACACCCCTGCTTTAGGCAATCAGCAGACATCTCCTAATACAGAGAGCCCTTTTATAGCAACTACCTTGGACAGCGTCTGTTTGGAAATACAACAATAATAAACAGTGGTTAAAAAAATAATGTCTGACCAATGCACATATACCCAAATTTCTGTGCCTGACCACGAGACACACCAGAATGAGAATAACCTTTTGAGAGCAAAAATCAATATCTATCTGTAAAATGTTTCAGTTGATATTACCCAGATGAAAAGGATACAGGTAGTCCTCAGGTTATGGCCACAATTGGGCCCAAAGTTGCTGTTGCTAAGTGAAGTGCTGAGTTTTGCCCCATTTTACGACTTTTCTTGCCACAGTTGTTAAGTGAATCATTGCAGTTGTTAAGTTAGTAACATGGTTGTTAAATGAATCTGGCTTCCCCGTAAACTTTATTAGTTAGAAATTTGCAAAAGGTGATCACCTGACTCTAGGACAGTGTAACTGTCTTAAGCATCTGAATTTTGATCATGTGACCATGGTGATTCTGCAATGGTCATAAGTGTGGAAAATGGTCATAATTCACTTTTTTCAGTGTCATTGTAACTTCGAATGGTCACTAAACGAACTGTTGTAAGTCGAGGACTACCTGTATTAACTATCGGATGAAATTACATTCATTCAATCAAGTCTGATATTCATTTGGACAACAAC